TTCTTTAGGTTGCACATATAAGTGAAATCATATGGTATTGGTCTTTCTCTAACTGACTTATTTCATTTAGCATAATACCGCTGGTAGAATTTCGTTCTTTTTTATGGCTGAGAAATATTACACCTCTTTTTTATTCACTCATCTACTGAGAGACACTTGGGCTGCTTCCATAGCTTGGCTATTGTAAATAATGTTGCAATGAACATACAGGTGCATATTTTCTTTTGATTCAGGGTTTTGGGTTTCTTCAGATATGTTCAAAGTGGAATCTCTAAGTCATAAGGCAGTTCCATTAATTTTTTTGACAAAGCTCCATACTGTTTTCCTTAGTGGCTGCACCAACCTGCATTCCCACCCAGTACAAGAGGATTCCCTAACTCCACATCCTCCCCAACACTTGTTTTATTGATAACCATTCTGAGAGGTGTGAGGTGATAGCTCATTGTGGTTTCAATTTGCATTTTTGTGATAATTAGGGTCCATGAGCATCTTTTCATATGTACGCTGGCCATCTGTATGTCCTTTTTGGAGGCATGTCTATTCAGGTCCTCTGCCTTTTAATGATTTGTTGTTGCTGCTGAGTTGTATGAGTTCTTTATACATTTTGGATATTAACCCCTTATAAGATGTTATCATTTGCAATTATCTTCCTCCATTTAGAAGATTGTCTTTTCCTTTTGTTGATGTTTTCTTTTGCTGTGCAAAACCTTTTTAGTTTGATATAGTCCCGTTTATTTTTTCTTTTGTTTCCCTTGCCTGAAGAGATGCATCAGAAAAAATATTACTAAGAGTAATGGCCAAGACTTTATTGCCTATGTTTTCTTCTAAGAGTTTTATGGTTTCGAGTCTTACATTTAAGTCTTTAGTCCATTTTGAGTTTACTCTTGTATATGGTGTAAGATCTAGTTTTATTTTTGCAAATATATGTCCAATTTTTCCAACACCATTTATTAAATAACTGTCTTTACTCCACTGTATATTCTTGCCTGACCATATAGGTATGGATTTATTTCTGGGCTCCTCTATTCTCTTTCATGATATATATGTCTGTTTTTATGCCAGTACCATGCTATTTTGATTACTATGGCCTTGTAATATAGTTTGATATCAGGTAGTATGATTCTTCCAACTTTGTTCTTTCTCAAGATTGCTTTGGTTATTTAGGATCTTTTGTGGTTTCATATACATTTTTGGATTATTTATTCTAGTTCTGTGAAATATGTCATTGGTATTTTGATAGAATTGCATTGAATCTATAGACTGCTTTGGGTAATGTGAACATTTTAACACTATTAATTCTTCCTATCTATAAGCACAGTATATGCTCCCACTTACTTACATCTTCTTCAATTTCTTTCTTCAGTGTCTTATAATTTTCCGAGTACAGGTCTTTTACCTCCTTGGTTAAATTTATTCCTAGGTGTTTTTGTTTGTTTGTTTGTTTGTTTTTATGTAATTGTAAATGGGATTTCCTTAGTTTCCCTTTCTGATTATTGGTGCATACAAATACAACTGATTTTTGAATACTTATTTTGTATCCTGCTATTTAACTAAATTTATCAGTTCTAGCAGGGTTTTTTTTTTTTTTGGTGAAATCTTTATAGAGTTCCATGTTTACAGTATGATGTCATCTGCAAATAATGAGTTTTACTTCTTTCTTTCCAATTTGGATGCTTTTTATTTCTTCTTATAACTTAATAATCTCTTTAAAGACCCTACTCCAAATATGACTACATTCTGCGGTTCTAGAGATCAGGAGTTCCAACACATGAATTTTGGGGAGTGAGGCACAAGTCAGCCCATAATACCACTATATCCTTCCTTGGGTCCTGAAGTCCTTAGTCAGTCTGGCTTTTCTACCTACTTTCATATTCCCCTTATGTTTGTTTTGTATTTAATGTCCAGAATTTTGTATTGTACTTGGTGGGTAAAATAGCAGAAACATAAGAAGATGGTTCCATCTTCTTGGAAACAGAAGTCTCTTCCTCGCATTTTATTTTACTTTAGTTTCTTTAAAAACTGACCTCCTAGGATTGGTAAATGGTAAAGTCAGCTATTTTGACTTCTGCATGCTGGGTCTTTATATCATCATACTAGTTTTACTTAAAATAAAATGTATAAAAAAATACAGAAATACAAAATTCAAAATGTACCAAATAGTAAGACTTTTAAAAAACATTAAGGTTCTTGGACAAACCCATTAATTGACAAGCAAGGATCTTGGGAAGTCATCACTCCATCCTAATAGCTAAAAAGCAGAACTGAAAAATCAACTCTTCCTGGATACACCAGAGAAGTGAGGTCAAAAGACAAGCTGCTGTCCCTCCACTGGGAAGACGGACAGGCGAACAAGAGAACCGTAACTCACTGGGTTAACAACCCCCGCGTGAATGAGTGCCAGGGCAGGAAAAAGCTGAACTATAATTGATGAATTGCTGGAGGCTTAGTGTAGACAATCTGAGTTTAAAAATCCAGGGGGAGCTAGTATAGGGAGACCCCAAAATTTTGAGTTTGACCTCCAAGAGCTCAACTGGGTTCTCATTGTGAAGAGCAGAAAAAAATCCCATCGCTTCCAGCCTCAGGAAGGAAAAAGGAATCATGTGACCTGCATGAGCACACTCTGTTCTTCATAACCAGGCCCGCCCTCCGGAGAAACCAGGCGATCGGGCGAACCTGCGGGGCTACGTCAGAGCCCAACTGCCGGGGGAGAGTGTCCCACCTGAAGGATAAGTAGAAATTAAGGTTCTTGATAATAAAAATCACTACTCTTTCCCGGCCAGTGTGGCTCAGTGGTTGAGCGTCGACCCATGCACCAAGAGGTCGCCAGTTCAATTCCCAGTCAGGGCACATGCCCAGGTGTGGGTCCGATCCCCAGGGGGGCGTGCAGGAGGCGGCCAATCGGTGTTCTCTCTCATCGATGTTTCTATCTCCCTCTCCCTCTCACTTCCTCTCTGAAAATCAATAAAGAAAAACAAGATCACCACTCTTTCCTTCCCACAGCACAGCTATAGATAAAAATGACCCTTGTTCCCCGACGTGGCTAAGGCACAAACAGAATACAGGTAAAATTTTAATACAGGAAAAAAAAAAAAGAGCCCTGGCCGGTTTGGCTCAGCGGTTCAAGCATCAACCTGTGGTCCAGAGAGACCCGGGTTCGGTTCCCGCTAAGGGCATGTACCTCGGTTGCAGTTTGTCCCCGGCCCTGGTTGGGTCGTGTAGGTGGCAGCCACTCGATGTGTCCCTTTCACGTCGATGTTTTTCTCTCTCTCCCTCCCACTCTATCTGAACAAAATATGGGGGGAAAAATGTCCTCAGGTGAGGATTTAAAAAAAAAAGGGTGGGTTACCTTGACAATCAGAACAAAGCCCTGCTGGGGTCTGTGACGCAGTGTCCCCCCCTGGAAGCAGCGGTAGCAGTGTCAGGGCCATTTTCCTATTAAAGGTAACAGTCGCCGAGAAAGTCTAGGTAAAGCACACAGATCACTTTCATATACAAACTGAAACCTTAAAACTCCCAGCTCCTCTGCTCCAGGAAATCACTAAGGGCCTCCCAGACGTCCCTGGCTCTTTTCTGAAACCAAACTGCAACTCATTCTCCTGGCCAGACCAGCGTAAAACTCAACATAATTTCTAGGTTAAGAACTAAGTCAAGCTCACACATAATTAAAAACCATTAACCAGATTGCAGCTCACCCAACACCATCCAGGGACGGAAGACTCCCAGGACCCATGGAGAGGAGACGGGCAGGAGCCCATGGGGCCCGTGGGCTGCGCTCAGCGTCCAAAGTGTGCAGCTGGAATCCAGGCTCCCTCCATACCGCTTTCCTGGCTCCTTGGGACAGGCATATGCTTACTTCAAAGTTTTCATTATTTTCCTGGATGTTATCCCTTTCCTGAGTGTGAATTATTACACATAATCCCTCTCCCCCTTCTTATTCCCTGAATTTTATAAAAATCATGGGGAAAAACGGCAGAAGGATGAAACCCAGGGAAGCTTCCCAGAATTAGCAAGCAACGAGGCAGGATTCTGGACCTGGGGCTCCGGCACTCCCGACCTGCAGCACACAGGTCAGCTCCACACCCTCCCTCTGTCTGTGTTCTGTCTTCAACATATGGGCCACGGCCAGGAGTTTCCAAACCAGCTTCTCAGCTCTGTTCATCCCTGCTCAGTCAATAGTGCACCATTCCGTTCCGGCCAAGATGATGACAATCAAAAATAAAACACTGTCCTTGAGTCCTCTTTTTCTTCTCGCATCACACCCAGTCTAGCACCGACTTCTGGTCCCAGAATCTCGCAGGGAGGAAGCTGAGCGTGACAGATAAAACCACTGCTCTCTTAGCCTGGCCCCAAATTCTCATCGAAAGAACATCTCCAGCTAAATATATCCCCAGGTGATTCTGAAGGCAGGCAACGTCCTGGTTGGTGATGGACACAAGTGTTCTGGCCACATGCGTGGTGCTCAGGGCTCCTCGGTGCCGGTTCAGGTTTTGTCCAGATCGAGCAGAGAAAACTGACCGTGTTGCTTTAATTCGCCACATTGTTCTTCCGTTTGTTACCAAAAAAATACAAAAACTAAAACTAAATCTCGAAAGAACTCTGAATGGAAGTGAGAGCTCTGTTTGCACTCCGCGTCCAGTTCACACGCACTTCTTTCTCTCCATTTGGTCTGTTTCCAGACAAGGGCACATGACCCTAACCCTGGGCGACAGCTGAGGAGCGCTCCACACGGCCGTCAGTACAGTCCCAGACTCAGCCCAGGGAGCATATAATGTTTTCAGCATCCACTCACCAATTATGTATTACACCAACATGGATGTTTTCAGAACTTTTTAAATTAAATTCTCCAATGTTTCTCAGCAATCCAACAATGAAAGCAGAAAGCCAGTCAACCTTTAAAACTGAAAGTGAGTTTCAATGTTTTATTAAAATAGCATATTTAACCACTGTTAACCAAGAATACCTTAACGTCGTTCCCACCCGCCCACCCCAAATACGCAGCACAACACAGTAGTGATTTCAAATATCATGATCATGAAAACTGACAGAAACAGTTCAAAGTCAAGTTTGCAACTAAAACCTGGACCTTGGAAAAATTCTGAATGAAAAGAAACATAAAGCTCTCAGACAGAACTCTTTCATCCACTGAAGAATGAATGCCGGCGCGCCACCGCCTGGACCACTGCTCGGCCATTCTCCTCTGCAGGCGGAGTTCGCGTCTCAGGACGGGCACCGCTGCTATAAATAAGGTCGGCATCTTCAGCCCAGGTTCTGTTCCTTTTCAGCTTCACAAAGAAACCAGTAAATAAAACTGTCAACGACAGTCACGACATTTGCTCTCACAGCAAGATAAAAAACTTGAATCACGCAGAGATGCGTCTATGCTATTTTACATTAAAAAAACAGATTTAAAAAGTGCAAGGCAAAATTTGCAGTTTCTTGAAGGGAGTCTTTAGGCACATCCATTTCTTTAAAGCAAGCTTCAGAATAAAATTCCAGTTTGTTCTTCATGACACCTGTTTAAGTCTCTCTCTGAGAAAAAACAAAGAAGAAACACATCCCATCAGTGTGAAACAGGGAGCCTTGGTCCCGAGAATGAGCTTTCAGTTATGGCGCGTCCGTCCCTTTTTGATTCTCGCAGGCTTCGGTTTGGGGATGTACTGATTATTTGCCTGGTACTCCAGTTCTTTCCGGAAGTAGTGAATCGCTTTGTTTAAACCCTCTTCCAGCGGGACCTGTGCAAAGAGAACGCAGACTGAGAGACTAGGTGGCGACTGACAAGACCACGACCATCTCAGGCTCACGCAAGGAAGTGCTGACCCGAGTCACAGCACAGCTCGAGGTCCCAAGGGCAACAGGGCTGCCTGGGAGAAGCGGCTCATCTTTGCAAAGCCCCTGCAGAACGCCCTGGGGAAGCGGACAACCTATACTCCAGGCTGACATAAAACCCCCAGAGATCCGAACTGCTTCTCAGGCTTGGCGTCTACTCCAGTTGTAATCAGTCACAAGATCACTTTCTTTTTAAGTTTTTTCCATTAATCCTCACCCAAGGATTTTTTTTTGCACCGATTTTTAGAGAGAGTGGAAGGAAGGGGAGGGACATCAGTGTGAGAGAGAGACATCAAATGTGCCCTGACCGGGACAGGGGATCAAACCTGCAACCCAGCCCTGGCCATTTGGCTCAGCAGTTAGGGTGTCAGCCCGTGGACCAGAGTCCCAGGTTTGGTTCCCACTAGGGGCACGTACCTCAGTTGCAGTTTGTTCCTGGCCCTGGTTGGGGTGGTGTGGGTGGCAGCCAGTCGAGGCAGCGTGTCTCTCTCACGTCGATGGTTCTCTCTCTCCCTCCTGCTCTATCTGAGGATGCATGCAAAAGTGTCCTCGGGTGAGGATAAAAAAAAACCAAAAAACCTGCAACCCAGGTATGTGCCCTTGACCAGAAATCAAACCTAAAACCCTTTGGTGTATGGGCCAATGCTCCCACCACTGAACCACACAGGCCAGGGCACAAGATCACTTTAAAATATGCACCCATTGCCCAGTCAGTGAAGCTCAGTGGATTGAGCATCGTCCCATGGACTGAGAGATCCCAGTTCTATTCCCGGTCAGGGCACATGCCCCGGTTGTGGGCTCGATCCCCAGTGGGGGGCGTGTAGGAGGCAGCCCATCGATGTATCTCTCTCACATCGATGTTTCTATCTCTCTCTCCCTTCCTCTTTCTAAAAATTCAATAAAAATATATTTAAAAACATTTTAAAAAATAATAAAATATGCACGCATTGCCCGGCCGGTGAGGCTCAGTGGCTAAGCATCGACCCATGCACCAGGAGGTCACAGTTTGATTCCATCAGGGCCCATGCCCAGGTTGCGGGCTGATCTCAGGTGGGGGGGGCTTGTAGGAGACAGCCCATCGATGTTCTCTCTCATTGATGTTTCTCCCCCTCTCCCTTCCTCTCTAAAAATCAATAAAAAAATATTTTAAAAATTAAATAAATAAAATATGCCCCCAGCACAGAGGGCAGGTGCTTCGGGAAGCACTGTGTCTTCTGACCCACCCCCTCCCACGTGACGGCGCTCTGCACTCCTCCCCAGCCTGGGGCTGGGCCGGAAGGGACCTTAGGAAAAGCCCCTGCACTTGGAGCAGCACTGCAGCCACAGGAAACAGGACTCGAACCCGCTGCCCGTTAAGGGAGGAGTGGGCGGAGCCACTGCCCGGGGCACCAGAAACGGGGAGAGGCCCTGGGGGCCTGTGACCTTGGTGGCAGTGGTTTCATGTCAAAGTGATCACGTGGTACATTTTAAACGTGGGCAGTTTGCCAATCTCACCTGAGTCGTCAGAAACAGACACACATGGGAACATTAAGATGATCTGACTAAAAGCTCCTCTGGCTCTGGCTCAGCGGTTGGAGCATCCCGGGTTCGGTTTCCGCTCAGGGCACGTACCTTGGTTGCAGCTTGTCCCCGGTTGGGGTTGTGTGGGTGGCAACCAGTCGATGTGTCTCTCTCACATCAGTATTTCTCTCTTTCTTCCTCCCTCTCTCCCTTCCGCCCTATCTGAAGATAAATGCAAAAAATGTCCTCGGGTGAGGATACAAAAATAAATAAATAAAAGCTTCTTTGGACAAGATCCCTCAAAAATTTTCTTATGAAGCAAGCTACTAGTAGGAAGAGCCACTAGTGGTAGATGACTTACATTCCAAGAATGTTGGCCTATTATAGTCAACTCCAGACAACAGAAAAGCCCCTGTGCACATACTTCAGCTACAAGCCATGGCCACTGGGTGGCGAATGCCCTTAACCGTCCTCAGGTGTCCTGTCTACAACACAGGTTGTATGTACAGAGGGGCCGAGACAAGCCCCTTCTCAGTGTGAACCGTATGCTTGATGTGACCCACTCTGCGCAGCTGGACTGTCACACACTAGATGTCGGTGAGTCTGGGCACAATCCCAGTTGTATTTCAGTAAGTTTCTGTACCTTCAGCGGATCACTGACTGCCGATCACAGGGTGAAGTAAGGATGGGGTGGAAATCCCCCATCTCCTCAAGTGCCACATTCCACCTTTCCACTCACTGAGTCCCCTCGTTCTCTGAAGGATAGCAGAACACGCCACCCCACATGTGACCGGGAGCTCAGGACACACCACCCCAACCTGCCACTCTGGCTCACCGGCGACCGAGCTGCAGACAGTTGGGAAACGGCAAATGCAGGGAGCAGCCCAAAGACAACCCTCCAAAGGGAGCTCACCTGCCGTAAATCCTCCCGGGGCCCAGCAACCAGGGAGGGCCGCCTGGTCCCCGGGCAGGACACGAAAGTCGTCACCCGGTCAACGGTCACAAACTTCCACTAATCTCCCATCTATTCTTCGCAGGCCTCATTCATCCTTCTTAAAACCACTTCCTCTCCCCCGAAAGCCGATGTTCCCCCTCCTCTTTCCCTACAAAGGTGGCATTTAAGTCTGAATTCCAAGCCACCTCTGAGTTCCTCATTTTTCCCGGTATCTCCCATGTATCCATGAGGCATTCACGTTAATAAACTTGTTTTTCTCTTGTTAATCTTTCATTACTGGGGTCTCAGCTGAGAACTCGGAAAGGCAGAGGGAAAACTATTTCTCCTCACTTACCTTCCCTATTACACATATCTCCTAAAGGTGAACGAACACCGGAGACTCTGGCCCTCCTCTCTGTACCTGTGACCTGCCAGGGAGGAGCTGCAGCCTACAGGCCAGCTGACGGCACTACATTTACTGAGCACGAGGGCGCGAGGGCTGCAGGAGCTGTGGGGCTGCTGTGCACGTGCCCCCGTCTGTCCCCGGGGAGCGCACGTTCCAGTAGGGCCCACGGAGGTGGCGGTGAGGAGCCGCGGGAATGGCAGAGACCTGACAGACGGCAGGTGGGGGAGGCTGCTGCAGGACGTGGTCGCCCGGACGGGCGGCCTCTGAACTGAGCCCCGAAGGTAAAGATGCAGCACCACGTGCAGCCCGGGGACACGCCCGAGAGGACGGCACTCCAGGCCGCGGGAGAACTCCCAGCGTCTCGCAGCCACACCGGGAGTCTGACTTAGTCTAACGCATCTGGAAGGGTGGGGTCCGCCTCCCCGCGCCTTGTCTCTGACGCTTCCAGCCCGGTGTTCCTCCTGCGTGGGAGCCGGCGGGACTGGCTCGCCCTGGCGCACAGCAACCTCGCCCAACCCTGCACACGCAGACATCCTGGGCCACATGGAGGCAGGCGGGTCATCCAGGGCGGGCAAGGCCGCGACGCGCACGGCCATCACCCTCAATGCTGCCTTCATGGATGGAGCTCCGCACGTGTGTGTGTGTGTGTGTGTGTGTGTGTGAGAGAGAGAGAGAGAGAGAGAGACTTTACAAGAGCAGAGACCCGGGTGGGGGGGAGACTTTACAAGAGCAGAGACCCCAGGAGGCCCAAGCCGCTTCCCTAGGAATGTTGAATGAGACATAACAAGCAGGTAATGGCCTGAAGGAAACCCTCCGTCGGGTTTGCCCAGATGCCCAAGCCCCCCTCGCTCTGCCGGGGGCTGCCCGACAACGGTCAACACGCTCGGACCCCACACTCACCACGGGCTCCCATCCGAGCATCAGCTTCGCTTTTTTGATGTCTGGTTTTCTTTTCTGTGGGTCATCCTGAGCTTCAGAGAGAAACTGGATTTCACTTCCACTACCTGAGTTGTTTTTAAAAAGAAAAAAAAAAGGTAAGAGAGTATCACAAGCCACTAGGAACGTGATGTTTCACCACAAACATCAAATGAATGGGGTAGGGTTGGGTGACGTGTCTTCATGGAGTCACTCAGCCACCTGAGGGCTGGACTGCGCCCCACGAGAGCTGGTGAGGCCAGGCCACCGCCTCTGCAGGCCTAGTGACATGTGAGGGCCAGCCCAGCACGGCCGGCTCCTGGGCAGCCACCCACCATCAGCTAACACGGCAGGTGTGCCCACCGAACATGACTCCAAAACGGCCAACATGGTGTGTGGGCAAATGTGGTGTGCAGTCGCCCATGACCCTGCTGGCCCACGAGCAACAGGGTGGTCATGCCCTGGACGAGGCCCTCGCCGGTGATCAGGCTGGTCTAACACATGGAGCCAGCAGTGTGCAGGGGGCATGACCCTGGGCCGGTTCCAGGCCGACACCTACCAAAGACCTGGGCACGTACGCGATGCAGGAGCAAGCCCTGAGCCAACACTGAGATGTCCAGCTACCGCCCTGGAGAGGCCTCGTGCGCAAGGACAGACAGCCTGGCTGGTTAGCGTCCTTGCTGGGCCCAGACCCTGCTGCTGCTGGCCTGGGCGGGGGGCGGGGGCGGGGGGCGCAGCTACTCGCAGGCCCTGCGGCCGTGCCGTGGCCCAGGCAGGCTCCCCCCGGGAACGTGGTGGTGAGTCTGCACTCCAGGTGCCCGAGGCGCTGCACAGGCCAGTCCAGGGCCGTGGCCGCACCCCGCTGACACCTGAGTTCTTCCCACCTCGGTGACAACCGAGCCTGAATGGAGGCTGCTGGAGCCACAAGATACTGGGTGTACGTCTGAGGAAGACCGTCTCCTCACCCCGCTGCTCAGAGTGGGAAGCATGCCGGCAGAGGGCGGCGCACTGCAGGACGACACCCCGAAAGCCAGTCCAGCTAAGTGTGGGGTCCGAAGAGCCACTTCTGAACACCCTGCATCACGTTCGTCCCCAGGCTAGCCAACTGCCCACCAGCCTGGCTCCGTCCTGGTTCCAAGTCCTCGATCACCCCTGGGAAATGGACGCCCTGCAAGAGCCAGGTCTCCCAGAGCTCCGGTCAGCCCGATGAGGTGACAGGGCGCCATGCACGTCGGCAACCCAAGGGCGGGTTGAAATCACAACTTCTACGGAGCAGACCTTGCCTGGGGCTACTGCGGCGTCCACACTGGCCCCACCGACCCGGCAGGGCTGCAAACAGGACGTCACCCTGCACAGCCGTCAGAAACCAGCAGGCGGGGTGTCATGGCTCTGAGGGCCTGCCCCACACTGCCCGCCTGGAACTAACGACGTCACCTGTGCTGGGAGCCAACCCTCGGGTCTCAAGACTGGGACAAGGCTTCCCACGCCACAGACCTGCAATTACAAAGGGAAACAGAACCCACCCTCCCCCACCCTTCTGTCTGTCTGTCCACTCCTTCATTCAAGAACCAGAAAACAGTTAAGTGCTCCTGAGGAAGTTCCGCTGTTTATCCAATTCAGTGAGCTTGTGCCAGCTGCACACTTTCCAGTCAAGGTGCTGTAACCAATAGCGAAGTGCAGGTGGGTTCACTCAGGGAGGCGTTCACCCTACTTACCAACAAGGCTTTTAATTAACTGAGCAAATTCTAGGATTGTGTGTTCTTCCGGGTTCCCCTGAGGAAGAAAGGGGCTCTGGTTATAAGCGAGATTGCAGCAGCAGATGCCGCCACCCCCACCCACACCCACGCACGTCTGCAGGCGTCTCCAGGAGTCCCCGGGCTCCTGCTCACGCTCCACTGGGCGCCTAACTGTTCCAGATGATGACTACGCAACATGGCCGAGTGCTGAACCTCAGCCGTGTGCTCTGGACCCACGTGTGGTACAAGGACACCCTGTGGCAAGGCCAGGAGTACCCAGTGTGAACACACATTCCCTGGCCAAGTTACCAGGACAGACAACTTCGTCTAACTGCAGTGCCACTTTGCACAGAAGTCTGGTTCTGCAAGATGAGCTCTTCCAAGACATGCCCTTCCGTCTGAGTGCACTGGTGAGCTTAATAAAGGACTCACACCGGCACACGAAAGCCGAGGCGAGAGAAAGTGCAGATCAAAGACACACAGAAGGCCAGTTTGGCTCAGCAGTTAGAGTGTCGGCCCGTCGACCAGAGAGACCCGGTTTCGGTTCCCACTAAGGGAACGTACCTCGGGTTGCGGTTTGGCCCCGGCCCTGGTTGGAATCATGTGGGCGGCAACCACTCGAGTCTCTCTCACATTGATGTTTCTCTCTCTCTCTCTCGCTCCGGCTTTATGTGAAAATAAATGCAGAAATGCCCTCGGGTGAGGATTAAAAATAAATTAATTAAGGCACACAGAGAAGTACAAGGGTAAGGGTGGCATGTACTTCAGGGAGTGTCAGCCCGGTAAACACTTGAACTGAGGCTCACAAGGTACATCCATCACCTTCTCTTCTTAACTGCATGTTTCTTCAAAGTGTGCATGAAGGAAACCCTGGCTGGGTGCCTACAGCCACCGCGTCCACCGCTCCAAAGGGAGCAACCTCTGCAGGTCCATTCTCTCCTATTTCGTAAGAACTTCCACTCCCCACTCAGCAAAAAATGAATGCTATGGCGCATGCCTAAGACTGCTGGCTACGCAGGAGGTCCGAGGAGAGGGAAACAAGCAGGCGCGCCAGGCCTGTGCTAGAACCCCGCGGGAGCAGGGCAGGGCTGGGGGGAGCACCGAAGCCGACTTGGTCGAGGTGACGTGGTCAAGGTGAGGAGTCTCCCTCATGAACCACGGGGCCCTCGTGTCCACTGCCATCAACAGAGACAGGACATCCGGAATGCCGGGCAGTCTGCACTGGACCCTCGCACGTGAAACGAGGCGGGAAGCCCGTCCAGAAGGCGGGGACGCGAGGGCAGGCGGACCGCAGTGACAGAGCCCTGCTGAAGAGCGGGCGAGGAGACCGGGCCTGCCCTCGCGTCCCTGGACAGGACGCTGCTGCGGCATCAGCCCAGCTCGAATGGCTCGCACGCGGAGAAGCAAGGCTAGTCAATGGGAGAACAGGGAATGAGATTTTAGTCCTAGATATAAGAGGGAACTCTCTGTCCGCAGAACTGGACACAGACAGAATTCCTTTCAGAGAAGCAAGTTCACCAGCACTAAATGTCACTGAGGCCGGGAAGCGACCTTGCTCCTCCCAGCACGGAGACGGCGGTCGCAGGACGCAGGTGCTCTGCACAGCCAGCCGCCTCCCGGAGGTAACGCGATGTTCCTAACTACCCCCTTCTCCACCGCACTGCATCGGCCTCCCAGACCTGTCTGCACACAGGAATGTCCACCCACCACACGCTTGACACGGTCTCAGGTGGATGGAGTTGGGTGGTGTGGATCGCATTGTACATCCCTGTCTTGCAAACATTTAACTTCCCTGTGGTCTCTTACTTTGTTCTGTGGTTTTTCTCTAGTGTGCAAGCTACAAGCGTGCATGCCGTGTGTTACAGCAAATCAAGCAGTCCGGCAGAGAACGAGGCCGCCGGTGACCTGTCCTGGGGACGGAGCAGAGGGCGTACTCACCAGGTTGACGGGGCTGCTGACGTTGCTGTTCATGAGCGCCACCAGGCCGTTCACCAGGTCACTAGGAGAGAGGGGAGGCTGAGCACCCGCCTGAAGAAAGCCACACCCAGCATCAGATCCCAGTCAGAGGTGTGGACAGGGCTAACGCTCTCCGGAAGAGGTGACATGACGCCTGGGGCCTGCTTTCCATGGGTGGGGTGCAGATGGCTGAGCAGGATGGAACCTGAGTGACGGGGCTGAGTGCTCTACTTTTGGGAATTTCTGAAACCCTTTAACAATTACAAAATAAATTAAAACAGGCACGCACCCAAAAGGCTGGAGTTGACACAAGTTCCCAACGAAAGTGTATGTGACACGTAACACATACGAAAGCAGGTGGTTAACAAAATAAGATCCACTGACATGAAAGAACTCCCGTGTGAAATCCCCACACCGCAAAGCACAGGTAAAGCCAACAACACTGAGCTGTTCCCACCGCCTCAACCTGCAGCTCACCGCTCCTGCCTCCCCGACACCTCCCACAAGTGCTCAGAGGGATCTGACGTTTCAAATGAATCGTGAGTGACCGGCCGTGAAGGTGAAGACAAGTAAGCAAAGTTCCGCTCACTAAGGTTTGTTTCTTATTTGCAGCAGCTTTCAAGTGTGGCTCTGTTCTGAAAAAGTTACTCCGTAAAGATAACACGTCCCTCCTGGCACCAGTCCTCTCTCTGGCCTGTGTCATCGGCTCTGCTCCTTAGCGGACTTTGAAGTCCAGTGTGCCATCCAAATGAGGTCCGTCGGAAACCCCTGCCTCCTTCTCCTCCATCACTACCAAAAGGAGAGGCTGCTGGGGTCAGCTTCGGAAGAAAACCTGTATTTGCTTTCCCGCTCATTGAGAGATGGTTTTGGTGGGGCATTTAGTAAGCAAACCATTTTCTGGGTTTTTGTTTATAGCAAATGGGCATTTTGCATGCACATGCCTGAGTCTGCTCTGTGCTCACAGATGAGCAGAGGTGCCAACAACAACAGACTTTGGATAATTTCTGTTTCCTAGAAACTGACAAAAAGTCACTTCACCACTATGGCAGTGACTAGGACATCGCAGCACATTCTCTTATGACACACGTCTCTGCGTATTCGAAACAGACATTAAGAGCTGCCATTCAGTGGTCCACAGTCATGGTTCATGCTGAGCCTGGGAGGGGCCCACTCGAGCTCGAAGATGACTGACTGCTACGCCACCAAACTCACCGGGGGCGTGGTGGGCGGGTCACGCATCTTCAATGGTAATGAACCCGCAACTGTTAAGGTCAAAATTGCACAGATCACACTCATTCAACCTGAAGCTCTTTAAAAGTGTCACTTTGACAAAGTGACTTTAAAACAATGTACAGCGTGCCTATGTCATGTGGATGAGGGTGTCACCTGACCATGGAAGGATCATCACGCCAGGATGTCAGTGCGTCTGACCTAGCCCTCAGAACCACGAAATGCCGCTTCAACGCCATCATGAATTTTGGAAACAGCTGATTTAGCACAGTAGCTACAGATTCAGACACTGTGTTTTAACTGAAGGAGAAAGATAGTCTCTAGAAAATAGCTTATTAACAGCAGCAAGACGTTGGTCAGTTAAGGGTCTCAGCTGAATCTTGAATAACTACAAGTGAAGCTGGGAAAGCCCCAGGCTGGCTCAGTCAAGTCCTCAGGCCCATGATCTCAGGCCCTGCCCCTGACATGGAGGGGCAGTGGGAGGGGCCGTGGGAGGGGCCGTGGGAGCGCGCCTGGGAGGGGCCGTGGGAGCGCGCAGTGGGAGGGGCCGTGGGAGCGCGCAGTGGGAGGGGCCGTGGGCGCGCCTGGGAGGGGCCGTGGGAGCGCGCAGTGGGAGGGGCCGTGGGAGCGCGCCTGGGAGGGGCCGTGGGAGCGCGCAGTGGGAGGGGCCGTGGGAGCGCGCAGTGGGAGGGGCCGTGGGAGCGCGCCTGGGAGGGGCCATGGGAGCGCGCAGTGGGAGGGGCCGTGGGAGCGCGCAGTGGGAGGGGCCGTGGGAGCGCGCAGTGGGAGGGGCCGTGGGAGCGCGCCTGGGAGGGGCCGTGGGAGCGCGCAGTGGGAGGGGCCGTGGGAGCGCGCAGTGGCGATGCAGCTGCAGGAGGAAGGGCTTCCCGAGAGGTCCTCAGTACATTCCCAGTGACACTGAGACCTGTGCTCTAGCTGTCGGATGGTCTGCCGACCAGGTGCATGGCCACCGGAGCAGGACCAGCAGCATGGCCACGTCTGTCCTGAGCTGGGTGGTATGCGACTCGTGCAGCACTCCATTCTTAACATGTTTCAATCACTAGCCACGAAAAAGGATCTGAAGAATCGGTTCTGACTGACTTCCCTTCTACCAGGTCTCACTCACGGCCCCAGGCTCACTAGTGGTCATGAGACATTGCAACTAGAGGCCCCGGGCTCACTAGTGGTCATGAGACATTGCAACTAGAGGCGCGTGGGGATCTGCTGGGGTGGCTTCGGGAACGCAGCGTAACTGGGGACCGCTGGCCCCTCAGGCACGTGCACGGGTGGGGAGAGCAGACTGCTGAAAGGGCGGCTATGCACCCAATACACAGACGTCCGACGATACGGTGGCGACACAGAAACGTGCCAGGATCCCTCTCTGAGCACAAAGGCCTGGGTTAGCACTTTGAAAAGGAAACAACCCTGAAGGAGGGGCAGTGCCTCTCCTGGTTACACCCCTTCTTAGAGTGCTTGGGCATCACAGGGGGCCCCTCTACACCCCCAGGCCTTTGTCCTGCTGGGTGAGATACTAATGGGGGGCACTGACCATTATATATGGTTTTTTTCTTTATTGATTTTAGAGAGAGAGGAAGAGAGAGGGAGAGAAAAAAACATCGATGAGAAAAAACATCGATTGGCCACCTCCTGCATGCCCCCGACTGGGGACCAGGCCCACAACCTGGGCATGTGCCCTGACCAGGAATCGAACTGGCGACCTCATGATGCATGGGTCGATGCTCAACCACTGAGCCACACCGGCCTGGCTATAGTGGTTGTTTTTAAGCAGGTTTTTTTTTTTTTTTTTTTAACCAGCAGTTTCATTTCTCAAAGAGCCTTCTGTAATCAGGCAAGTCCATGTGCCTGCTCTGAGGGGCTGGGGGCTGCCGAGCTGCACCCCCACCGCCACCTCTTGCTCTGCAGCGACCTGGGACGGCTCCTGACACCAGGAATGGCGTTTTCTGGCTGAGAGGCATTCCCGGGTATTTGCAGCAAAATGTGAAACCACACAGAACTGGATTTCACAATTTACGATACCGCCAACTTACACGGAGTTCTCAGTAACTGTGTCGTGAGGGAAAGTATCTGGGTCTATGTAACTGTTTATATGTAACTCCTCTCAGAACCCAAACTGCATTTTAAAATTAGTCACCAACTGAACTGACCAACAAAAAACCCGACACCAAGAAGACGATGAAAATTACCATGTCAAACTATTCGACCAAGTGCTTAATTATTTTAGCACACGATCCGGTAGCAGTGGACACTCTGCCGCATCTGTGCCTTGAGGAGGACAATCTCCTCCACCCCAGAGAGCCTCGTGTAAAGTGGGTCAGATTTAGGTTTGTTGGATGACTAAGGCCAAATCCTAAACTGGGCTGAACTCAAGTTCCCTCAAGCTGGGCGGTTCACCTATGAACCACCAGGTGGCAGTAAAGGGCTGCAGATGAGTCACTTCAGGAACAAGCATTAGACTGAACTGCACCCAGGACTGAAAGAACCTCCTGAGCCCGCCACCAGCTGTGAGGAACGTTACTGTGCAACCCAGACGCCACCCAGGACCACACCAGCCTTGCGGAGTGGCCGCGCGGCCCAGCATCTTACCTGACATACTGAAAGGCCCTGGTCTGCGACCCAGATCCGTACACCTAGGAGGAAAGCAACAATCAGGCCTCACGTGTGTGCTTCAACACCACTGGGGAGATGGCAGAAAGACGTTATGCGTGTGTGTGTACACGTGTCAGCACTATGCCAGGTCTGGGGCAGGACGTGGCAGGTGACAGACCTGTACAGACTGCAGCACTCAGCACGTCTCCCTGGCCCTCCCCTGAGCTGCCCATCAGGACAGCTGGACGCTCGGTCAGACAGGCCGCACAGCCTCCGCCAGGCGGCCAGCTCCCGGTATGTCCACACTCGCTCCCTAGGTCATCCCAAGGTGTGGCCAAGGCTGAGAACCACCCAGGAGACTCTGGCAGAGGACAGAGGGCAGGAGGGAGGGGCCTTGGCTCCACAGGGTCCCCTGGATGTTCCCACATCTCCGCCTCGCCTCTCCTCTCCACCTGGCACTGTGTTCCTCATCTCAGGGCCCCTCAGACGCCACAGCCCTGGGCACTTCCTCTGGCTCACTCCCAGGACAGACACACTGCTGCGTCCTCTGTGCCAGCCCTCCCTGAATCACCCATTCCAGCTCCCCTGGCTGAGAGCTCCCGGGGTCAGGAGTCAGTCCAACTCACCTCTGCCCTACTGCAGCCCGCGCAGCGCAGTGCTCAGAGTGTGTGCTCAGGAGGAGGCCTGGGGACCGGGCACGTGCGCAGTGCTCAGGGAGTGTGTGCTCAGGAGGAGGCCTGGGGACCGGGCACGAGTGCAGTGCTCAGGGAGTGTGTGCTCAGGAGGAGGCCTGGGGACCGGGCACGAGTGCAGTGCTCAGGGAGTGTGTGCTCAGGAGGAGGCCTGGGGACCGGGCACGTGCGCAGTGCTCAGGGAGTGTGTGCTCAGGAGGAGGCCTGGGGACCGGGCACGTGCGGTGCTCAGGGAGTGTGTGCTCAGGAGGAGGCCTGGGGACCGGGCACGAGTGCAGTGCTCAGAGAGTGTGTGCTCAGGAGGAGGCCTGGGGACCGGGCACGTGCGCAGTGCTCAGGGAGTGTGTGCTCAGGAGGAGGCCTGGGGACCGGGCACGTGCGGTGCTCAGGGAGTGTGTGCTCAGGAGAAGGCCTGGGGACCGGGCACGTGTGCAGTGCTCAGGGAGTGTGTGCTCAGGAGAAGGCCTGGGGACCGGGCACGAGTGCAGTGCTCAGGGAGTGTGTGCTCAGGAGAAGGCCTGGGGACCGGGCACGAGTGCAGTGCTCAGGGAGTGTGTGCTCAGGAGGCCTGGGGACCGGGCACGAGTGCAGTGCTCAGGGAGTGTGTGCTCAGGAGAGCCTGGGGACCGGGCACGAGTGCAGTGCTCAGGGAGGTGTGCTCAGGAGGAGGCCTGGGGACCGGGCACGAGTGCAGTGCTCAGGGAGTGTGTGCTCAGGAGGAGGCCTGGGGACCGGGCACGAGTGCAGTGCTCAGGGAGTGTGTGCTCAGGAGGAGGCCTGGGGACCGGGCACGAGTGCAGTGCTCAGTGAGTGTGTGCTCAGGAGGAGGCCTGGGGACCGGGCACGAGTGCAGTGCTCAGGGAGTGTGTGCTCAGGAGGAGGCCTGGGGACCGGGCACGTGCGCAGTGCTCAGGGAGTGTGTGCTCAGGAGAAGGCCTGGGGACCGGGCACGAGTGCAGTGCTCAGGGAGTGTGTGCTCAGGAGGCCTGGGGACCGGGCACGAGTGCAGTGCTCAGGGAGTGTGTGCTCAGGAGGAGGCCTGGGGACCGGGCACGTGTGCAGTGCTCAGAGAGTGTGTGCTCAGGAGGAGGCCTGGGGACCGGGCACGTGCGCAGTGCTCAGGGAGTGTGTGCTCAGGAGGCCTGGGGACCGGGCACGAGTGCAGTGCTCAGGGAGTGTGTGCTCAGGAGGAGGCCTGGGGACCGGGCACGTGTGCAGTGCTCAGGGAGTGTGTGCTCAGGGAGTGTGTGCTCAGGAGGCCTGGGGACCGGGCACGAGTGCAGTGCTCAGGGAGTGTGTGCTCAGGAGGAGGCCTGGGGACCGGGCACGAGTGCAGTGCTCAGGGAGTGTGTGCTCAGGAGGCCTGGGGACCGGGCACGAGTGCAGTGCTCAGGGAGTGTGTGCTCAGGAGGAGGCCTGGGGACCGGGCACGTGTGCAGTGCTCAGGGAGTGTGTGCTCAGGAGGCCAGGGGACCAGGCATGTGTACAATCAACGCAGCCTGACCGCTCAGGAACCCCCAGAGGGAGAGGCCAGGGGACCACCTATGGGAGAGTGAGGGGAGCATGGCACCACCCACTCTAGGCCCAAGGGCCAAAGGCAAAATCACTTACAATCCCACGCTGTTGGTGCAAGGAGCAATTACAGCACTGGCTTTGGGCTTGTCTAAGCATTCCTTCCCCACAATTTCCCTTGGAAAATAGGAGGCTATTAAAGTGACTTAGACCCCGACTCAAACCTTAAAGCTGCCACTCCTGGGCTGTCCGGAGAGCCCTCACCTCAGAGAAGCTATCTGTGCATCAGCAAACTGAACATGTACTGCCAGGCACACAGCGGACTCGGACCCCTGTGACGGTGTCTGCGTGCTTCTGCGCCTTAACTGAGCTGCGAAATAAGTCTCGTCAAAATAAGCTTAATCGACTTAATTAGCCAGCTCCACCTGAACCACATGTGTCTGTTTTCTAAACTTTCTAAGCTGGAACGCAGTCTTTTCTGAGCTTCTGTGATTCAACTTAGAACACAGCTTCTGTGTATGAAACTGGCAGAACCTGGCAATATCCCGACAGGCACGCCTCGTCTTACTGTGCCTGAGACCGCGGTCTGTTTCCACTGACTGAGGTTGGTGGCAATCCTGCGTCCAATGAGTCTGTCAGTGCCCTTTCTTCACCCGCATTTGCTGACTGGGTCTCTGCGTTACAGACTTTTTCAATGAATTTGTTATACTGACCTGTAACCAGTGATCTTGTTTTTAAATCCTCACCTGAGGATATGTTTTTATTGATTTTCAGAGAGAGGAGGGGAGAGAGGGAGGAAGAAGGGGAGGGAGAGAGGTGAAGGGGGAGGGGAGAGAGAGAGAAACATTTATCGGTTGCCTCCCCTATGGGCCCCTACTGGGGATCTAGCCTGCAACCCGTTGGCACATGGGATGGTGCTCCACCAAGCGGACCACCGGGCCAGGACTGTGATCGGTGATCTTTGATGTGAATGTCACAGCTGTGCGAGGCACTGCGCACTGCACCATGGCAGACGGCACACTGGGCTGGTGAGTGGAAGCAAAGGTCTGACGCCAGCAGAGGCTGGTTTGTGAGTGACAGCCATGCTCTGAAAGGCCCCTGGGGACTCTTGCCAGGGGGTGTCTAGAGAAGACGACCCGCCGTCCTGCTCCGTCGCTGGCACAGAGGCTGGCATGGCGTGAGGACAGCACTGGAGGTGACCTCGGCCCACACAGGGTCATGCTCAGGGGTGGGGACTCGCTCTGCCAGCCGGCACACGGGCCTGGCTCTGCCCAGGAGACAGTAAGTCATGCTCTCAGGAGGCCTGCAACGGTTTGCTCCATAAGCAAAGCAGCTCTGAGCGGTGCTGGGAGCGGACCCACTGAGGCAGTGGCCAGGAGGCCAGGACCAGGAGAGTCCTGAAGCTGCGGAATTCTCAGCAGCGGGCATCAGAACCCAGCAGCAGGCAGAGGCGAGTGCACCTCGTCACACTACAACCACGAGCATCCAGGATGGTCACTGGCCACGTGTGCTCATCACAGAAGAGCAGCCACCAGAATCCACTCTTCCCACGCTGCCGTGTCCCGATGCTCTTCCAGGAGCAGGGACACAACCACACGTGAACCCAGTTCCTTGGTCAGAGAGGTGATACTCTAGAGGGGGGCTGGGGCTGAAAGTTAACATTTCAGCTGGTGATCGCCCTGGCCGGTTTGGCTCAGCGGTTAGAGCGTCGGCCTGTGGTCCGGAGAGACCCGGGTTCAGTTCCCGCTAAGGGCACGTACCTTGGTTGCAGTTTGTCCCCGGCCCTGGTTGGGTCGTGTGGGTGGCAACCACTTGATGTGTCGCTTTCACGTCGATGTTTCTCTCTCTCTCTCTCCCACTCACTCTATCTGAACAAAATATCGAAAAATGTCCTCGGGTGAGGATAAAAAAAAAAAAAAAAAAACCATTTCAGCTGGTGATCAAGTGCAATGAAATAATAAAAAGCACGGTTAGGAGGTGCATAGTGACAGGTGGATGCCACTGTACACACAGCGGTGCAGAGGGGGCCCCACAAGAGCGCTGTACACACAGTGTGCAGAGGGCCCCCAAGGTGAGCTTTGTACACACAGTGTGCAGAGGGGCCCCCACAAGAGCGCTGTACATACAGTGGTGCAGAAGGTCCCCACGAGAGCGCTGTACACACAGTGGTGCAGAAGGCCCCCCACGAGAGCTCTGTACACACAGTGGTGCAGAAGGCCCCCCACGAGAGTGCTGTACACACAGTGGTGCAGAAGGCCCCCCACGAGAGCTCTGTACACACAGTGGTGCAGAAGGCCCCCCACGAGAGCGCTGTACACAGTGGTGCAGAGGCACAGGCCAGGGGCAGTGGGAGAGGAGGCGAGAAGGTGTCTGGATCTGCTCAGGCCAAGGCGCTGGGATGTGCAGTGATGTGACGCGGCGTGAGGGAGGCTGCATGTGACGGCCTGTCCTCGGGCACCGAGGCCCAGATGGAGCTGGCGTCACTGAGGGGGGGCGGGGCAGCAGGCTGGGCGGCTGCACCTGCAGCGGGGGTCTGGTCACTCATCCCTGTGTGTTAAACAACACTCATCTGGAGAAGGTGTCCTGTCCTGGGGGAGCCACAGCCCTTCGGGTTCTAGCTGGGCAAAGGCTCCTGTTCTGCACTGGTAGCAGTACAGCCACCACGTAGGCAGAGCTGAGCACCAGGGAGAACGGTAACCAAGAGCAGAGGCTCTGGGCTCACGCACGGCGGCCACCGTTCGGCCACGTAAGCTGGGGCCATTTGGCTAACCTCTGAGCTTCCGTCTCCCCATCTGGAAAACAGGAACAGCCATGTCACCTGCACCCCGCAGACTTGTGGTGAGCACTCAGGAGCTAGCAGATGAAGGCTGGAGAACAGAAGCAGTGACTAACCCTACCGGCAGACAGCTAGAGAAGGAAGAGAAGGGTATGCGGACAGACAGACCACGTCTCCACAGCCGTCATCTCTCCCCGGGAACACTCAGCGGTGAGCAGACCGCCCTGCAGAATACGTGGAGAACCGAGACACATCCAGTCCGAGTCCCACAGACCCGGAGCTCTCAGAGGCCAGAGTGCACGCGGAGTGGAGGCAGGCAGGTGGGCAGGAGTGGGAGAGGCAGGAGGGAAGAGCGGCAGGAAGAGGAGAGAGGAGGGCACTGAGCATTAGGCAAAACTGGAGAAACCACCCGAACTTAACCCGCAAACCCTGGCAGAGCAGGCTGAGGGGTGTCTGAGGGCACTGAGTGGTGGGGCTTCATCCTCGCCACACACGAAGCCCTGACCCCGGGCCAGCAGGTGGCCACGAGGCCCCAGATGGAGCACCTCTCAGCACTGCCAAGGAAACCGCCCAAACCGATGGGTCGACCTCCAGCTCAGCCACCTGCGTGGCACCGAGGACAGACACACTCCTGGCCAGCCAGTGGGGTGAGCAAGCACCCGGAAAGGTCTCTGCAGCCAGACCCCGAGGCCCGGGTAGCGTGGACCAAGCCCACAGCCCCCGGCTCCACACTCTCAGTGGGCTCACCGGTCACTCCCCTCCCGGTCACAAGGGGCAGGGACGCACAGAAACCCAGTGGCAGCTTCAGGAACGGGACTCCCGGAACCAGCCGCACCATCACTGGGCCCGGAGGCCGGCACGTACCGTGAGCGGCTCCCCCTGCAGCGCCTGCAGGATGAAGTTGCTGACGACCCGCCCGTCGTTCATGTGCATGCGCGGCCCGAACGTGTTGAAGATCCGCGCCACTCGGACTTCCACACCTTCCTGCAACAGGGGGAGAGGAGGTGAGGCGCGCTGCACGCTGCAGGCGCAGGTGCGCTCTGGCTGGCCCAGGGCCCTGCACTCGGAACACTCCCGCACGAACGTGGCTGCTCGGTTACTACTGTGTGCCATGTGCTCGCTGAAACAAACCCGAAAACCACAGTTACACAAGCGAGCCCGACGCCCACCTCTCGCCCCGCCGTGCCAAGCAGACCCTGGGGCACACCTGCGCACCTGTTTATACACGCCTTCTCCCAGTAACTCTCAGGTGGATCACGTCATGCTCACGCTTAGATAATTTTTTCACATATTTTTTTGTAAATTTATCACTCAATAAAGATTTATTTTTAAAACTTTTTAGCTATTGATTTTACAAAGAGAGGGAGAGATGGGGGTGAGGGGGCATTGATTTGTTGTTCCATTTGTTTATCATTCATTGGGTGTGTCTTCTATGTGCTCTGACCTGGGATCAAACCTGCAACCTTGGCGTATGCGGATGACACGCTGACCAGCTGTGCCACCCACTCTCAGGTCCTCCACAGAGCTCTAAGAGCTAGTCTGAAGGAAAAAAGAGTGCTTTACCTTGGGAGAGACGGGCATGTACACATTCTTAAAGAGTCACACTCCGCCTCTACCCGCTCTGCCCACCGAGCAACGGGCCCCAGTGCCGGCCCGCCTGGAAAGAGCACCCCGACACTGTTTGAAGCGGCTCTCTGCCGTGGGGTCACAGACATCCCTTCCTTCCGTGTGTGGCCTAGATGTCTCTGTGTGTGTTACAATAAAGGAGGGAGAGGGGGAAAGAGACTGGGGGGAGGACAGAGGGAGAGGGGGGGAGAGAGAGGTCACACCAAACACCGATTGGTTGCCTTCTGTTTACGTCTCAGCTGTGGATCAAACCCATACCAGCCAGAGCAGAAAAAGTGTATTTTTAAGTATGTAATCAAGAAAGTATATCTTTTAAACTCTAAAAGCCTTCTTGAAGCTATTTTGTTTATTAATTTCACAGACAGCTTTCTCAAAGATATGCAAGTTAAATGTTTTATCACAGACTCTGATTCAGTGAACTTTTCCAGCGCATGTGTTTCCAACCGTGGAGCCATCTGATCACAGATGCTCACGTTCTGGGCATCCGAGGCCGGCAGGATGGAGGGTGAGGTCCTGGCTCATGGGTCACTCAGCTCCAGGGCTCGATCGGCCTGCCACGACCCTCTCGGTCACAGTGAGATGGGGAGGGACAGCACTTCCCTTACAGGGCTGCTGTCCATCAAGCCTGTCCCACCCTTAGCACAAGCCCAGTAGTGATACATATGTGTTGCTCCTGCTGTCATAATTAGTTGAAACAGTTTTTTTCTTCTCATTTTACCACCTCAAATCTGGCACGAGCAGGAAGCCCAATGGGCCCTTAGTTAATGAAGCACAGAACCCCACCTCGGATGCCCCAAAGGCCCACGTTGGGCCTCGAAGGTGCCGGAACCACCCGCTGGCCACCTCTGCCCACAGCAGCCAGGCCTGTGTCCCTGGTGTGCAGTTTCTACATGTGCTGATAGAAATGGTTGGGAACAATGCACCCAGCACACAGTTAACTCTTAGAAACCAAAGCACTATATTTCTGCTAACTCCTCCCAGCAATACATTATAATGCTTTCACGTGATTTTTCAGATTCTTAGAACTAAGATATGAGCTGTTATACTTGGTCCAGGAATTTGAAGTTAATCCTTTTCTCCTATGAACAGAGAATATTTCAAAAAATGGGGGAAGGAAGGAAGCAGGGAGGGAGAGAGAGGTATTAATTTCAATAGAAAATAAGCCAGAAATATCCACTTATATTTACTCATTAAGATGAGGAAAAAATCAGAAGTGGATAAATATGGCTTCATTCCAGGGACTAGAAAAACCTCACCAAACTGTACCAGTAAATCCACGTGCCTGGCAGGAAAGTCAACGGGCTTGTAAGGGCTGCTGCAAATCTAACGTTCTCACCCTCTGACCTTCCTCTTCCTCAGAGCAACCTCCCAGAACACAGCTGGAGGCGGAGTTCTGCCACGCTACCGGGCCAGCCCGTAAATGAGCCTGCTCGTTATGGCCTCCATCTGAATCATCTCCTAGGCGACACAGGACACCTCCTCCGGACGGCGGCCGCAGAGCCACAGTGCTTTTGCGAGAGCCCCGCTCTCACGCCCGGTCTGCACCGAGGCTACCTCCGTATCCAGCCTCACTAGCAGAGCACAGCAACGCACACCAAGGCTCCCTCGGGGGAGACCTCTGTCCTCGCCTGCACTGGCTTTCCATGTTGCATCAGGACCAAAGGCCCAGGTTCAGCAGGCGTCCCCCAGCCTGACACCCTGCCCGCTCCTGGGATCCTGGGGTGGCCCCGGGCGGGATGGTGGTCAGCGGGTGCCACGTGCTACTCAGGGCGGCAGTCTGGTGGACACGCGTATCTTGGAGGAAGGTATGATTACTCCCCATCTCAGGCTTGAGGAAAGGGCCAGTGACCCAAAGCCGCTTCCCAGGCTAAACACCCAGGAAGTGCCCACCAGGTCCCCAGGCCTCTTTTAAGGGAGACCCTCCTCTGAAGGACCAGTGAGCAACACACACACACCTTCCACACCCCACCTCCCGGGGACAGAATGTTACCAGCAGGGATTCAATGGCTCTCCCTCTACAGCTCTCGTAGCGCAAGACCGCCCCTTGGAAAGCACTGTCAGGCCCTGCCCATGGTCACTGCCTCCAGATGGAAGGTGCCGGCTGGACAGAGAAGCAACGCACAGGGAGAGCGGGTGCTCACTGTGTGCCCAGCCGGTCCTGAGAGGCACCAGGTGCAGGGACCTGCAGGGACGGGACAGAGGACTAACAGAGGTGCTCCCAGGTCCAGCAGGCCCTGCTCTGTGCACACTTCCCTAGTCTTCCGCATCCCCTGACAGGGTGACACGCACCTCCCTAAGCGACAGAGCCACGTGGCCGAGGGGAACCACGCGTTTCCCCCGTGGCCGCTCAGAAACGCCTCTTGATGGGCTCTGCTCCCCACCTGGGAAAGACTGAGGCCATTACAGAACGCAGAGCCACTCGGTGAAGCAAGACTCGAGGTGCTAAAACGTTCCAATTCCCTGTCGGAGGTGGTGGCAGAGGGAGAAGGCCACACAAGGTCAGGGCCGTGGTGCGTGCCTGCCTGGCGGTCTCCAGCCCTGCTTCGGCTGCACCGTGGCCACTGGGCCTGGTGCTGGCGCACAGCAAGCGAAGCTCTCTTCGAGGCCAGGAGGGGACCAGCGTTCTCTGCCAGTTTCCAGGGGGCCAGCAGGCACGGGGAGCGGTGCCCAGCCGGCAAGCAGCAGAGCTGGGTAGGTCCAGGCCACAGGGGTCTTGACTCCTAGGGTGTGAATCCTCCCAAAAGAACATTTGAGTCTATTTTTAAAACTAAAATAAAGTACATACCAACTATTTTATTAAGTATTCTGATGCCAGAGAAGAAAACACAGCCGTTCCTTCAAGGCCACTGGGCTGACTCACCGGTGCCCGGCCGCTGCTCTGCCCGTCTGGTTTACGAATGGCGGCCCAATGTGGGCCCAGGTCTGGGTGTGTCGGGACCCCGCTGGGCTGTGAGCTCCGGCGCACCCCAAGCACTGGCCGCCGCACACCGGAGAAGGCCCCACACTTCCAAACCACCACATCGCGGCGCAGATGCCAGATCTGAGTCCTCTCGGACAAGCGGAAGGTACCGGGGGACGCTGGGCCCTGGTCCTCACTTCCACCTCATCCCGCCCCGACAGGAAACAAGGGAGCGTCCAAGTTCACATCCTAAGAGGCACACGTGTCATGGACTTTTTCTGGGAAATTGAATTCTGCTTTGAATACAGCAGCATAGTTCACGAAGAGAAACTCAGAAGAGAATCCTTTGGAAAAGAGAAACTACAGAAAGATTAAGCCTACCTGTATTTATCTTGTTTATACTCTCAATCCTTAGACACAGGTTGATTCAGAGTAAAACATAACCACATGCGATATGGAAGAAATAGGAGGATTTATACTTAAGTGTGGATGTGTCATTACACATAAAAAGTAATACCTTACGATATTAAACAACTAATTAAAGGCATGCCGAAGACAGAGTAATCTACCCTTCATCCTTCTCCGGGTCACTTTTCATTATCCACAGACAGCATGAGCGGTGTCACCTCAGGTTCTGAATGTGCCGAAAGCACTGTGGTGACAGGCTGCACAGGGAGAGCTGGAGGGGACTGTCCCGCCGCCGTGCCCTGCTCACGGCCGCGCGAGGCCCTGGACTCTTGTCCTGGGCGTCACCTGACTGTGCTTCAAAGGAGCCCTGGTGCCCTGGGACTCGAAGTCACATCTTCCCTTGCTCCCCAAGCTTCCTCCCCAGAGGGCCCACCGACAGCCAGCAGCCGACAGCCAGCAGCCGGGAGCAGGGAGCAGGGAGGAACACGCCCTCAGGCTGCCAGCAGGGTTGAAGCTCTGCCTACAGGCCGGGGAGCTGACTCGGTGGAGGAGCCCACTCTTCCATCTGTAAATGGGCATCCCAACCCCCGCAACGGGGCCGCGGGAGGGGAGACTCACAGACTGAGCCCTCACACACACAGACTGAGCCTCCCGAGACCAGCCCCCCAGGCACACTGTGGCTTGCCCACGGGTGGGACTTCTGCCCGGGCCTCCTATGTGAAGACAGGCCACACACTCCACAGCAGTCATCCTCCAGGGGACTGAGTCCTTCCCAAGGGCGGCGGGTGCGGCACACCCTCCCGGCAGGGCTCCTGCCCACACAGGGCCTCCCAAGGGGCATGTCACTTCAGTTTCCACGGCCACCGGTGTCGCTAACCTCCCGAGACCGTGTGGACAGAACGGTACGCTGCCCATGCGGATGCTCAGGTGCTGCGTTCCCAAGCAAGCTCACCCGGTGACAGCACGCCAGCGTCAGCGTGACGTGCACCCCGGCTGGCTTCCGGAGGTGTGTCAGTCCCTGGCACGGTCAGTGCTCAGTAAATGCTGGCTGCATCACTAAATGCTATGATCACCACAAGGTCATACCTTAAGGTAATATGTATACTTACAAAGATACCAATTAGGTTATACTGCTGCTAATCGTTTGATGAAAATTAAAAGTTCAATCAAAATGTCCTGTGTAAGAATTCACCGAGAAACACAAGACTAAAAGCAAAAGCAAACAGCTGAGAGACGGCCCTCTTCCGGCTCCTGCGGAGCGAACGCAGCTACATGTCCTCGGGCGTTCGGGCTCGCCCTCTCAGGTGCTGTCAGACCTACGGGCGCTGTGCATCCGGGGCACCATCTTAAATTTTAGGGTTGAGATAGTCTAGGCTCAAAAACAATAAAGGCATGTCCTTTCTAAACTGGTCAGTTTCTTAAAAAACGAATACTATAACTGCCTGAAGTGGCTGAGAAGGCAGTTCGTTCTGCTTCTGGCCTAGAAATAAGGCAGAAAGGCCTAAATGCCCACATCAGCACAAGGCTACTGTTGGTAGTTCATTAAAAAAAAAGACACTCAGGGACCCCCTGGCCATCAGCAACTCAGCCCCAGGCACCCTGGAGCGCCTCCCATGAAGCACAGGGCCGCCTGAACTCTGAGCTCACCCGCAGCACAGACCCTGGGCCCAGGGACACATGCCCAGCCCTCTTTAAGTCCTCGTGTACAGGCTACCACACATCTGTCCACAGCCTGCCCTGTCCACGTGTCCCTCCCTCTAACAAAGGCATATCCATGAGCTCAGAGCGCTGGTCCAAGCGCAACAGGACAGTCACCGCAAAATGGATGAACTAGCCAGGTCCTGCCTGGCCCTCGGCGCTGCTGGGTGTCTCGGCGGCCCCTGCAGAGCCCCGAGGCAGACAGGGCACTGAGCCCCATGTCGGAGACGGAGCCGAGCGCCCGAGGAGGTCAGGCCACATCTCCAAGGACAAGGCAGCAGCAGAGCCAGGCGAGAACGAGGTCCTCCCCTCAGTCTGGGGCTCTTTCTGCTACAGCCCGGAGTAAGCAGATCTGCCACACGAAAACACCCAGGGGAAAGTCCCCTGCGGAGCAATGAGTAACTGAGTAACTGGGAAGCAGGAGAGAATAGTAAATAACAGCCCCTAAGAGGGCCAAATGGAAGCAATCATAAGTTCACTTTCATACCTATGAGGTAACTAGAAGTGAGAAGGAAGCCCCTGATTTGAGGCTTCAGGCAAACAGAGGCACTCCGGAGCTGCTGGTGGGCAATCAGGAGATGCGGCAGGACAGTTCTGGCCGTGCAGAGCACTCGAACGCTATGAATTCACCCCAGAAATCACTGCTTTAAAAAGGAGGAGAGCAGCCGCCAACGCCATTAATTTGTAACAGTGGGGATCTGGGCTCCTTCCCCAGCTCCACCCTGGCAGTTAACCATGCATTTCATTCCTTCCATTTCGTGTCTGCGCCCTCGCCCGCGCCCGCGCCCACGGATCGTACCTGCTTCATGTAGGCGTAGCACATGGTCTCTGCCACCCGTTTGCCCTCGTCGTAGCAGGCTCGGGGGCCGATGGGGTTCACGTGGCCCCAGTAACCCTCACTCTGAGGGTGGACTTCAGGATCTACGAGAAAGAGACATGGAGACCGTGTTTTCGTCTCTCCTTGGTTTCAAACGTAGGACGCACGAATATCCATGCCACAAACGGGTGCCATGGAAGACCAAGACAACACATGTGCAGAAACCATATCTAGAGAAGTCACTGTTCCACAGTCCACTCTAAGTTCCCTCTCTCATGTTCATATCGTATTTTACAGGAAAAAAATTTCAAAAATAAAGTATTCCCTCTCCCCCATAAGTTGTTCTTAACTTTTAAATTATTATACAAACTATAACTAAATATAATCTATGTGAAGAGATATATGGTTCAATTTTACATTTATAAAATAGGTAACAAAAGCAAAGCATGTACTTATGAAAACATTTAAGAGCACCCCTGCGGAGGGGACTTCCCCACCTGCCGTCACCAGAACCGGCCTGAGACCCTCCTGACGCACCCAGGCGCCCTGGGCCAGTGCGGACGAGCGTCCAACAGCAAATGGCTGCGTGCTCCCTCGGCACACATTCTGTACTTCCCAATTCCGTTTCTCTGGCGCGTAATCCAATCACACTTTAAGATGTACCAGGGAAATGAGTACTTAAGAAAACCCAGGAACAAATTCTTTAACACAAGTATATTTTTGGAATGTGAATTAATAACTAATTTCTCCAGTGCAGAGGAATTTTATACAACCATGGTGTAAGTGTATAAATCTCTGCCAAGAATTCTGGGCAAGGCCCAAGAACCTATGTGACAAATTCACTTCTTGTGGGCCCTGTGGCAGGTCTGACTGCAGCTCGTGGGTACAGGGGACCGTGTGGGGGGACGTGAGCAGCACCGCTGGGCTGAAATACCCAGGATGCCTGAGGTTCATGGCACAGCTTTAAAAAGTTCCCTCACAAAGTCACTTTGAAACCACAAAAGGAAAGGACCAGAGTCGCAGCTGCTTTCCAGTCAGGCCCGTCCAGCACTCGGCTGGGCTGAGACCCAGCACACCCTCCACAGACGCCAGTCTACTGAGCTCGGACCCGGCAGGGCACAGCATCAGGCGGGGCCCAGGAGTCCGGGCCTGACACGGTTTATGACCCTGGGAACAAGATGTGCAGAGAGTAAATGACGTGGAGGAGAGGGTGGACGTGGCAGGGACGTCACGTGCCCTCCGGACAGAGGACACGAGCACCTTTGTACTGGAGGCACTTAAAGACGCAGCTCGTCGGACTTCATCACCACCCCTCCTTTTGTGACACGGAAGCCCATCAGAGGAGGCAGAGGGGCCACCCAACGCCCACGGGGAACTGGCTGATCCCCTGCAGAGTCGATGGACAGACAGGGAGGGGAGAGTCCCAGCATCCACTCAACCCCTACTCCTCAGCAGCAGGCCAACAGGGGCTCAGGCATTCAGAGCAGTGGACGGTGCTCTACCTTCTGAGACATTACAGAGAATGTAACTGCATGTAGTGGAATTTGTTTCTCAGACTTTCTCACGTGGTTCCCCTTAATAAAAATGCATCTGTTCCCATGTCACACTTCCATGCCCCGCTTCTGCGGTCCAGAACAGTGTGTGAAGTGCTAAGTTCTGCCGCGGCTAAGCCTGGCTCCTGCTCGCCCACCCGGCACTGGGTGGCCTGGACCAGATGGACGTCCACGTGAACCGAACGTGTCAGCCCTCGGCCCGCTCCCCGCGGACGGTGGTGCAGGGCTGCAGGGGGCAGACAGGCCCTGGGTGTCCTGGAAATGGTGGAGTCTTCCAGAAATGGGTACAACAGTGAGGCATCAGCCTGAGCCCTTCACCAAGCACACTTCCAGGCCAACGGCGAGTTCTCAGTGGGCAGGCTCGAGACTCGCACTATTTACACTGATGAATAACACGCACCACCTAGATGGGCAAAGACTCCCTAACGAATCGACTTCCAGGTACTCTCGGAGTAGAACTCAGAAGACCGCCGTGGAGCCGTGAATGCTGGTCCTCGCCAGCAAGGAGTGTGAACGGGCCCGAGGGCTGCTTCAGCGGAGGGGGGCCTGCGGACCACGACGGCAGAGACGGGAGCCTCCTGGCCGCTGGGCGCTGCAGTCAGAGAGCAGGCTGCCCTTCCCAGAAATCAAGTCTGGACTCCACTCGATTCCCTCCTCACCTAAGACGGGATGCAGACTGTGCCGGGGGCGCCCCACCACTTACCTCCATACACCTCCGAGGTGGAGGCCAGGAGCAGACGAGCGCCAACTCGCTTTGCCAGCCCTGCAGAAAGAGGGACATGATAGAGCCGCCGTCAACCTCGGGGAAACGAGGGGAAATACACACGCACACTTCTGTCGCAATGTCAGCGACGTTTTAGCATTAACGGCGCCTGGCCACCATGCACCTCCAGTTATGCACTCTTATTGCATCTACTTTGGAAACAAAACCAATCCAATAAAGACAGTAAATAAAAACAAATGAACTCTCAGAAGCCCAGTATTTACATACGTATAACTGTAAGTAGGGCCAACGCAGACTCTGCTGGTTTGATAAAAATGTGAGCAGTTGCACAGATTCTTTCGCCCCAACACATCACCCAGTGTTTCATGAGGCAGCTTCACCCTGGTTGGCTTAAGGCAAGGCCCTTTCCACTTGAGCTTCCTTCCTTCCTTCCACCAAGTCCCCCCAAATTGGTCCACCTGCCACTTCCTCAACACGCTCCCTGGCATCTTCCGACTGTGCCCAAGCCAGCCCATCTGAGCACCTCCTCCCCTGTCCTCCCGCCTCCTTCCAGGTTGGCTTAAATAGCACCTTCTCCAAAGCAACTCCTCACACCCTGTGTCCTGCTCTGAACCTTTCCTGCATTCACCCTTAACATGCAGAATGGACTAGAACATCATCATCTGTGGTGGTCACGTAAATGTGCAAAGTCAGAGTCCCGACGTGCAGAAGAGGTCATTAGAGGCTCTGAGAAGCCCTGGACAAAAGAACCTATTGCCCTTCACTGAACCCAGCGCTTCCCAGACGTCCTCCCCGACAGAACCCTGTGCACACAGCCCTCAGCACCCAGCCCTGCACACAGGCCCACGAAGGGCCGTGAGGAGAGGGAAGGGGAGAACACAGAACTGCGGCCACTCCTGGGGGAGCCGGGCAAGACAGAGGAAGGGCCCTAGCACGAGGAGACCAGGGGTGAGTGCGCAGGAACCCCCGGGGGGCCACGAGAGAACAGAGCAGCCGCGGGTGAGGGCCCAGACAGAACTGTGCAAACCCCGTGGCTGCGGAAGGAGACGGCCAAAGGGATGTGGTGCGATGCAGAACTCCTGGGCTCCCAGCACCACATCCCAGCTCAGAGACAATGGTAGCAGCTTCAAAGTGAAGGATCCCAAGGTCTTTTTTGTATATGTAATTACATTTTTATTTGACTTGTACGTTCAAATGCAGGTGAAAGGATACAGAGAGCCCCTGTATCCTTCTAGTTTCTCCAACAGTACAGGCTTGCACAGCTACAGGTCAGTACCGCAATACTCGCGAATGCGCTCATGACCCAGAACGTCTCCTTCGGCACTGGGTCGAGCCAGGGAGCACCTGCGCTGCCCTAGGGCCCAGGTGTGCATGCAGAGACCACATCATGAAGAAGCCAGGCACAGGGCCACGGAGAGAAGGGCCCTACCAGGAGAAAGCCAGGCGGCGTTCAGGGCTCCTCCCAGTTCACAACACAACGTCCTGTGTGGGTCTCTTTCTGGCCTAGCAATTGCCCCTCTTCCGCATCTGTCCATGTAATTCTTGGATGACCCTTTGCCATTCCTTCTAGACTTCCAGGTCTGACCTCACTCAGGGTTCCAGCCCTGGTCCAAGAGTCACCTGCACCTTGAACTCTAACAGCCCTCCAGGGATGGCTCTCTGTGGGGGCCTCCCTTCCCTCGTGCCATGAAGCCTGTGCCTGCTTACTCTCCCCAGGACGCCGAGCTCCCTGGCAGAGGAGCCGAGGACAGTCCTCCTCCGAATGCCCCCAGTGGACAGGGCAGTGCCTTGGACATACTGACTGCATTGCCTAAATGATGTCTTTTTACCCATTGTGTGCTTGGTGGCCTTTCCTCTACGGTATCCAGTTCTGGTGTGAAGGAGGGGCAGCCCGTCACACGCCGGATCTCTGAGCAGAAGCGGGGCGCTCTCTTCTGTCTGGGGACCAGGGCAGGAGCCATACACAGAGGAGGACAAATGCCCTTTCTAGACTACAACAGTGAACCCTTTCACTTCACACAGGCCTGGACTCCCACAGCATTTAGCTGTCTTGAAAACCAATCTCCAGTTGCCTCTTCAGACCCTTGTGTGAGGTTCCAGTTGAATTAAAACTCAGTGCTACCTTGCCCAATCCCTTTCATAGAACCTATGTTAAATGTCCTATCGTTGACTCTGCTTTTACTTGACATTTTAAAAAGTGGTTCCTTTCTTCCGCTTTGTAATGCATCGAAATCCCGAGTGCATTTGGAACCTGGGCCAAGCCTGAGGGTGCCTCCAACATCAGGCATGAATATGTGTATCACTCACGGCGTGTCGTTTGGAAATACGTATGTGGCCACCTGTAACGGTGCACACGCTCATCTCTATTCTAAGGTGAGTTCTGCAGCTCAGTCAGGAGCCAGGGACTACATTTCAAAAGCCCCATAAAGACAGTTTCCTGTCCCTCCTTCCAGGAGCACTCCTGAAACCTGTGTGTGTGTGTGTGTGGTGTCGGGGGTGTCTGGGATGTGTGTGCGCGGCATCTGGGATGTGTATGGTGTGTGTGGTGTGTGTGGGGGGTATGTGGTGTGTGTGGTGTGTGTGTTTGGGGTATGTGGTGTGTGTATGTGTGGTGCATGGTGTGTGTGTGGTGTGTGGTGTCTGGGGTGTGCATGGGGTGTATGTGTGTGGTGTGTGTGTGTGGTGTGTGTGTTTGTGTGGTGTGGTGTGTGTGGTGTGATGTGTGTGTGGTGTGTGTTATGTGTGTGGTGTGATGTGTGTGTGAGTTATGTGTGTGTGTGAGTTATGTGTGTGTGTGAGTTATGTGTGTGGTGTGAGTTATGTGTGTGGTGTGTGTGTGGTGTGATGTGTGTGTGGTGTGAGTTGTGTGTGTGGTGTGGTGTGTGTGAGTTATGTGTGTGGTGTGTGGTATGATGTGTGTGTGAGTTATGTGTGTGGTGTGTGGTGTGATGTATGTGTGTGGTGTGTGTGTGGTGTGTATGTTATGTGTGTGGTGTGTGTGTGAGTTATGTGTGTGGTGTGTGTGTGGTGTGTATGTTATGTGTGTGGTGTGTGTGTGAGTTATGTGTGTGGTGTGTGTGTGAGTTGTGTGTGTGGTGTGATGTGTGTGTGTGGTGTGATGAGTGTGTGTGTGGTGTGTGTGTTATGTGTGTGGTGTGTGTGTGGTGTGTGTGTTATGTGTGTGGTGTGTGTGTGTGGTGTGGTGTGTGTGGTGTGATGTGTGTGTGGTGTGTGTTATGTGTGTGGTGTGATGTGTGTGTGAGTTATGTGTGTGTGTGAGTTATGTGTGTGTGTGAGTTATGTGTGTGGTGTGAGTTATGTGTGTGAGTTATGTGTGTGTGTGAGTTATGTGTGTGTGTGAGTTATGTGTGTGGTGTGAGTTATGTGTGTGTGTGAGTTATGTGTGTGTGTGAGTTATGTGTGTGGTGTGAGTTATGTGTGTGAGTTATGTGTGTGTGTGAGTTATGTGTGTGTGTGAGTTATGTGTGTGTGTGAGTTATGTGTGTGTGTGAGTTATGTGTGTGAGTTATGTGTGTGTGTGAGTTATGTGTGTGTGTGAGTTATGTGTGTGTGTGAGTTATGTGTGTGGTGTGTGTTATGTGTGTGAGTTATGTGTGTGTGTGAGTTATGTGTGTGTGTGAGTTATGTGTGTGGTGTGTGTGTGGTGTGATGTGTGTGTGAGTTATGTGTGTGTGTGAGTTATGTGTGTGTGTGAGTTATGTGTGTGGTGTGAGTTATGTGTGTGAGTTATGTGTGTGTGTGAGTTATGTGTGTGTGTGAGTTATGTGTGTGGTGTGTGTGTGGTGTGATGTGTGTGAGTTATGTGTGTGTGTGAGTTATGTGTGTGTGTGAGTTATGTGTGTGTGTGAGTTATGTGTGTGGTGTGAGTTATGTGTGTGAGTTATGTGTGTGTGTGAGTTATGTGTGTGTGTGAGTTATGTGTGTGGTGTGTGTTATGTGTGTGAGTTATGTGTGTGTGTGAGTTATGTGTGTGTGTGAGTTATGTGTGTGGTGTGAGTTATGTGTGTGAGTTATGTGTGTGTGTGAGTTATGTGTGTGTGTGAGTTATGTGTGTGGTGTGTGTTATGTGTGTGAGTTATGTGTGTGTGTGAGTTATGTGTGTGTGTGAGTTATGTGTGTGGTGTGTGTGTGGTGTGATGTGTGTGTGGTGTGAGTTGTGTGTGTGGTGTGGTGTGTGTGAGTTATGTGTGTGGTGTGTGGTATGATGTGTGTGTGAGTTATGTGTGTGGTGTGTGGTGTGATGTATGTGTGTGGTGTGTGTGTGGTGTGTATGTTATGTGTGTGGTGTGTGTGTGAGTTATGTGTGTGGTGTGTGTGTGAGTTGTGTGTGTGGTGTGATGTGTGTGTGTGGTGTGATGAGTGTGGTGTGTGTGTGTGGTGTGTGTGTTATGTGTGTGATGTGTGTGTGTGTGTGGTGTGTGTGTGTGGTCCTCTCCACCTCAATCTCGGAGCAGAGTGGCCAGCACCCCTCTCCGGCAGGGAGGAACTACACCACGGGTCAGGGGAAACTGGCGGGAAGCTAAGACGTCACTCGGAAGCACAGGTGGTCATCCCAGGGCCTGAACTGGGCAACACAGACTAGCTACTACAGGGACCATCTCTCCCCAGGACCAATTCCGACGGCAAATAAAGTCACACTGAAACAGCCCAGGCGGGGCTGAGGGAGGGGCGTAAAGACCAGGATCAAACTCCGAGGCCGTCGATGACCTGGGCCCGGAGCCGTCCACTGTCCTCCCACAACAGCTGCAGAGGAAGGGAGGGCAACTCACCCAGCATGTTTAACGTCCCGATCGTGTTGGTCTTCAGTGTCTTGATGGGGTTGTACATGTAGTTTGGAGGGGAGGCCGGAGAGGCCAGATGGTATATCTGGTCAACTGAAGGAGAGAAAATGGAGTATGTTACTTCCAAGAAAAACACTAAAACATCCCGAATTCAGACTGTTCAATAAAGGTATTTGTGTATCTTTACCAAAATTTTAGTTATTTTATTATTCTCCATAGACACAAATTTGCCATGAGAACTTTAAACAAAACCAGAAAGTCTAACTGTCTGGAAGAAAACGTGCTGGGCCAATGATCTGGGCCAGTTCCCTCTTGCCAGTGTCAGTCTGGTCGCTGCGCTGCCGCTGGCTGCCTTCTGGGAAGACCTGCCCCAGATACAACAGGCAAGTCAGAAGGAAGACTGACTTTTCAGACACAGAATTAAGCAAGAATATTGAAACCAGTGATTTTCAACCTTTTCATCCCGTGGTACTCATAAAATACTGAAATTCTGCAGCACACCAAAAAATGTATTTTTCTGCCAGAAACAGGTGTAATTTTGATTCGTTCACGCTGAATGGCTCCTGTTGTGCTGGCTGGAGTCATTTTGTATCTGACATTCTAAAAGAAAAGAGGTCAGTGCCACTGACTAAATAGTCAGGTATTGCATGTGTTATTTATTTTTTTAATCCTAACACGAGGATATTTTTACATTTATCTTCAGATAGAGTGGGAGGGAGACAGAGAAAGAAAGAGAGAGAAACATCCATGTGAGAGAGGTTGCCACCTGCACGACCCCACCAGGGGCCGGGGACGAACTGCAACCAAGGTGCGTGCCCTTGGCCGGAATCGAACCCAAGACTCTTTTTGGTCCACGGGCCGATGCTCTAACCGCTGAGGCAAACTGGCCAGGGCATGGTATTGCATGTTTTAAAAATTCTTGGGGTGCACCACTTGGAAATCGCTGGTCTAAAGTCAAGGACATTTCAAACTGTAAACAAACCTGACGCAAAAGCAAAGGCACAGAGTAAGGGAGAGAACAGCTTCGCTTTGCTCCTGTCTCCAGTGCACAGGACACCAGACCTGAGAACACTGTCGCAGGACAGTCCAAGGCCATGAACGGCACAGCTTGGACTCCACACGCCTCACTCGTGCACAGGCATCACTAACACCAGCACCCACAACGCTGGCTCCCCAGGGTCAGCTAACACCCACCACACAGCAGAGAGGCCCTGGGAACACTCCCGTGAAAGGAAAGTGCTGCGCAAGCGCAGGAGGAACGCCGTCCGTCCAGGCACAGTCCTCGCCATCCCACCTGAGCTCAGGGCGAAGAAACGAGCACCGTCCCAGAAGGGCCAAGCGGCGGGCCTGAGACACCCCTGCCGCAGGAAGCCTCCCGCGCTCACGCTTCAGCCCCACGCAAGGGCACCTGCACGAGTCCTCCACGCCCCTCCTGGCTCCCCCGGCCTCCCGCCCACTTCCCACCCAGGGACCAGGGCTCTCCTGTGAGGTGACAGCCCATCAGGGGCTAAGTTTCGGAGATGACACAAAACAAGCAAACTCAAAAGCAGTCCCCATGATGAATTCTCCAACAGAACTTTCTCAGAACACACCCACACCCCAAAATGCCCAAGCTCCCCACCCACACACCACCCATCCACCTGAAAATCATCTGTCTTCTCCAGGAAGGCATGGGAATCACTGCAGTACCTTCACGGATCTGGGGTTGTTTCCTGACATGCTCCCCAACCCGAGTGAGAGAACTCCTCATCCTCAGACAAGGAGCCGGGGTGGCAGCTCCACATCCGAGCACGTGTTCCTGCTGTGAGCCTGGGCTCCCTCAACTCCCCCTCATTGTCTTCCTCCAAGCCTGAAGGTGTCTGAGACTGTGTACGTAACAGCCACCAAGACTGCGGGGAGGGGAGCTGGATGGTTCCAGAGACAGTATCGGTAGAAAGGAATTCCAGCTATTGCGCAGGTTCACGGAATAACCCAGCCGCTGTTTTGTTCCTGTACTAGGACCACATATGGAGGGAGGCAAGAACATGGAGAAGACTGCGGATCCCATCTTCCAGATATTTGTGAGGCTTCTTTGTTTGCCAAGATTATTCCAGCAAACTCCTGGGGTAACTTTTGTTTCTAAAGGTCTTCCTATTAAAAAAAACAAAACCAAAAACCTGTATAACACCATCCCTCTCTATCCAACTCCCAACAGCATTTTTTAAAGAAACAGAAAAAAAAAGTTCCCCTGAAATTCATATGGAATTTCCAGGGACCCTGAACAGCCAAAACAATCTTATTTTAAAGAGAACAAAGTAAAGGACTTGCAGTTCCTGATTTCAAGACATACTACAAAGCAACAGTAATCAAAACAGTGTGGTGCTCACATACAGGCATATAACCAATGGAATCAAGAGCCCAGAAATAAATCTGTTCTGCATATGCCCAAATGATCCTCAACAAGGGTACCAGTCACTCAATGCAAAAAGGAGAAAGGGCTAACAAATGGTCCTGGGAAAACTAAATAACTAGAAGCAAAAAAAATGAAGTCGAACCCTTATCTTACTATATAAGATACAAAAATTAACTCAAAATGGATAAAAATCTAAACATAGACATAAAACTCCTAGAGGAATATGAGATTTGACAAAGATTTCTTGGATATGACACCAAAAACAAAGTCAATGAAAGCAAAAATATATAGTTGGGACTACATCAAACTTAAAACACTTCATGCCAATATCAAAGGATACAATAAGCAGAGTAAAAAGGTAATGTATGGAATGGGAGAAAATATTTGCAAATCATAACTGTGATAAAATGTTAATATCCAGAATATGTAAAGAACTTCTGTGAATCAACAACAACAAAATCAACCCTATTAAAAAAAATGGCAAAGCACTCAAATATACATTTCTCCAAAGATGGCCAACAAGCTTATGAAAAGATGCTTAATGTCACTAATCATCAGAGAAATACAAATCCAAATCACCTTATACCCCTTAGGCTACTATTAAAAAAGGAACAGAAAATTAGAAGTGCTGGCAAAGATACAGAGAAACCAGAACCATGGTACACTGTTGGTGGGAATGTAAAATGATGCAACCACTGTGGAAAACAGTATGGCAGTTCCTCAAAATATTAAAATAGAATTAACACGTGATCAGGAATTCTACTTCTGGATACGTGACACAAAGAACTGAAAGCAGAGTCCTGAAGACACATCTGCACACACAGGTTCATAGCAGCATCATTCACAACAGCCAAGAAGTGGAAGCAACCCAAGTGTCCATCAACAGATGATGGTTAAATAAATATGGTCTATACATAGAAGGAATATTATTCAGCCTTAAAAAGAAAATCCTGTTACATGCTACAACATGGATGAAGTCTGAGAGCATTACTGTAAATAAAATAAGCCAGTCACAAAAAGACAAATACTATAGGAATTAGAATAGACAAGTTCACAGAGTCAGAAAGTAGAATGGTGGTTACCAGGGGCAACTGGGAAGGGGAATGGGAGCTACTGTTCAATAGGTATAGTTTCAGTTCAGGTGAAAAGGTTCTAGAGATCTGTTTCACAACAGTGTGAATATACTTAACATTACTGAACTGTACACTTAAAAAATGGTTAAGATGGGGCCCTGGCAAGGTAGCTCAGGTTGGTTAGAATGTTGTCCTGATACACCAAAGTTGTGGGTTCAATCCCTGGTCAGGATACATACAAGAAGTAACTAATGACTGTATGAGTAAGTGGAACAAGTCAATGTTTCTCTCTCTCTCCAAAACCAATTAAAAACAAATAAACAAAAGTTCATGAGAATTGCACTGACAGGATAGTTCTCACAAAAGCCCATCATTCTTAGGCCACTTTACCTTTTCTAGTTTACAGATGTGACCACAAGAGGATGGATCAGTTCCTGCACAAGTACTTTTTTATTTTATTTTTCTTTATTGACTTTTAGAGTGAGAGGAAGGGAGAGAGATATAAACATTGATGAGACAGAACATCGACTGACCGCCCCCTGCATGCCCCCCACTGGGGATGGGGCCCACAACCTGGGCATATGCCCTGACCAGGAATTGAACCAGCAACCTCTTGGTGCAGGGTCGATGCTCAACCACTGAGCCACCCCGGCCGGGCCACACCTGCTTTTGTAAAAGCTCAAGGTCTGCAGGTGTATGGAGCAGACCATTGCACTTCCTCTTTTTAAAACACCTCATCACACCCACTGCTGCTCTGGAGCAGGACTGTGCCAGATTGGAAAGAGAATGAAGCTGGACAGACCTGCGGAGCGTGGCAGCAGACAGTGCCTCCAGCGCTCTCACTGAGCCTGAGCTGCTTCCACCTGATTCACAAATCACTGGCCTTTCTGCTCACACAGAAGGGGCCTCCAATCACTCCCCAAAGCCAGCGTAAACCCAAGCGTCTGGATTGTTATCTTATAGCACCAACTACTCAGCACTACTTTCACCCTCAAGGTGACAACATCTGCAGCGAACATCAAAGACCAAGAGAAAAAGGTGCCTTGAGTCATAATCTCCTGCCGTCAAACACAGAGACGGGAACATTTAGAACCTGTCCCCAGCCGCATGCTCTCTTCTAGAAGCAAGGCTCAATTCAGATGTCACTTTGTGTGGGGAGCCTTCCTGGGCCCAGAAAGTCACTCTCACGGCTAGCGGCCTGTCGGCTTTGTCAAGTGCTTCATGCGAACCTCAGTAGATGATGACAAGCTCACTGAGCAGAAGCAAGCCTTTTCTTCCTTACGATCAGCTTTGCTCTCTGCAGGGAGGGCAGCCCCCCACCCCCGTCACCCAGGGGCACCTATAAATGCAGATTCCTGGGCAGATCTAACGCAGCAGAATATCTAGGCAGGCCCAGAAATCTTCGACTGAAAACAAATACCAGTTACACTGTGCTTTGGGCCCGGGCAGTTTGGGAATGGTGTGAAATAAATTAGCTGAGTAATGAGAAGAGCCATAAACTGGGGTTTTTTCATCCAAAAGAGCGTGCATCTGGTTTGTGGTTTTCAACACTGCACAGTTCAGCCTGAAAAGGCTCAGGTGTGCCCTGTGAAACGATTTTGTGATGTTTATTTAAAGAAACGCCTATG